AAACTAACATACCAGCAAAAACTTCAACCAGTTAATAAAGTAACGAAAAAACAACAACTACAAAAACTCACCTAGTTTACATTTAAAACTGGTATTACAAATATAATAAAAAAACTTAATTAAACTGCAAGCTTCATATTAAAATCACATACAAGAAGTTTAATACAAAGATAAATACTGGCTTAATTATTTACTTTTTATTACGCACTTGAATAGCTTCTATACCGACAAACGGACAGACACAATAGAATTTTAATATTTAATACAAGAAGAGAAGTGTATTTATTTTTGTGGCTCACTGTGTTTCATGTGTGATATTGCAATGGTGCACCCGCCTGCTCTAACAGTTTACGCTAGGTGATGAGGTCGGGTCAGTTACCCTATCATTGTAAATTTACCATGAATTTATCATGATGATTTCCAGGACCACTTGGAGGTCAGCCTGACATAGAACATTGCTAGTAATGTGGTTATTAGTTCCCACTACTAACAATCCCTTTGTTCCCTTTGTTGTTTAATGGATGTCGTACTAACTCTGGTACTCGTTCACCCGTTAATAGGATTGTTAAAGCATATAATGTTAAATTCTATAATATAGATATATTTGCCACTATACCAGAGGTTCCCAAACTTTTTTGTGTCGTAAACCCCTTGCCATATTTTTCAGTTTTGAGTACACCCCCCATTCTTACCTGGTATTGATTTTTTTGTAAATTTCTAACTGTAGTAAAGTTTAGTGTTAAAAACATAAAGTAAAAACAACAAGATGACCGCTGTCGTAGACCTCTTGCAGTTTGTCATAGACCCCTGGGTGTCGACATAGACCACTTTGGGAATCACTGCACTAGACCATCATTATTTAAAAATATGGTTGATCAGAACTTGTATAACACCCATTAAACTTAATGTATGAACTATTAATTATCTTTATATTTCTAGTGATACTTTTTTTATTATTTTATTTAATTTTACGCTTTCTTTATATCTAATGTCAGTCAGTACTTGTCAATATATCAGTTGCATTAAGTCTATCTATTGTAATTTTGTATATAATATAATGAATTTTTGTTCAGCACTGCTTCTCTAAACAAGTTTGTATGTTTATATAAATTTTCTTTAAACAAAACTGTGATACTAAACAGTACCAACGATGTTATCGTTGGTACTACCACAGATAACATAATATTACATAGTAATACATACATTTAAAAATTGTTCACGGTTTACCTAATCCCATATTGTGTATACATAATACATTGTATTACTGTTTGTTTGTCTTAATAAAAGAAAAAAAATCCCCTTCACCCTAACTGAGTATGTCAATGTAAGTCTAACCAGTACATATACTTTATTTTAAAAATATGTTCTGCTCAAAGTTAAATAGTCCTTTTTTTATCTTTTGGTTAAAAAGAAACAATTAATTTCAAAGCTGTTTTTAATTTTAATCCAAATTTAAACATTTTTGTATTTCAGAAATATAAATTTAAAAAAAAAACTAATAAAAGTCAAAGGAAACTAAAAAAAACATTTTAATAGTTTTTCTTATCTCTTCGAATTTATTGAGTGTTTATGTCAAAATGTTTTAGAGGTAACAAAGCTTCTAATCATTGTGATGGGTCATTGATCATTATCCTCGACCTATCAAGTCCCAATTGATTGACATGACAAGTGTTTGTTTAAGGCACTCATTACAGCAAACTCTAAACTAGTCAAGTACAACTTTTATTCAAAATGATAAGTTCCGTATGTTTTAACCTATTTACTATAGTAAAGTTTTGGATACCATTTTAATAATAATAAGAGTATACCATATAATAAACTACTATACTATAATATACTATATAATAATATTAATGATAATGACTGCTAAATCTTATTAATATTACTAGCTGTTCCCGTGACTTCGTCCGCGTGGAATTTTTTTATATTTATAAGTAATAACTAACAGTTAAATAATAATAACTAACATATATCTAGTTTGTTGTCAAAATTTATAAAAAAAAAACAGACTTAATTATGATAAATTATACATACATATATACATATAAATAAAATAATAGTGAAATAAATATTTTTTGCTACATACTAGGGTTCATGATTTCTCGTGACTTAATTTCGTCTTCGCGTGAGAAATTTACATTTGCGTATTTGGTTTATTTTTAAGTTCCAATAACGTCAAAAAACTCAGTGGTTTCATTTGAGACGAAAACCAATGCATTTTTTGTTAAATATTAATTATAAAATTTAACTATAAAATTAATTATAAAACTTTTATTGAGTAGGTATATTTAAAAACATTATACATATTATGAATAAGCCATTTTTTTTAAATACTGAAATATATTAGGTTCTTAAATATGAAATTAGCGTTTTGTCGTACTGGCCACTTTGATCTTAAATATCTCCTCTTTGGTTATAAATTTCAATTTCAAATTTATACATTCATAAATAATACATGTGCTTGGTTTTTTCTTTGGGTCACATTATAAAATGGAAAACTTAAAATATCGCGTCAATATACATGATTTATTTTTTTTGTGCAATTCAATTTAATTTCTATATAGTCTTGATTTCTCGATCTGTTTTCTCGTTGATTTCCGGCAGAAGGATTTCCCGGGAATTCTCGAACCCTACTACATACATATGAATATAAATACGGTACATACACCAAAATATTTTTTTTTTTGCAATTTTTTGTCTGTCTATCTGTTTGTTCCGGCGAAGCTCTGAAATGGCTAGACCGATTATAACGGGACTTTTTTGGCAGGTAGCTGATATAATAACGAGTAACTTAGGCTACTTTTATTTTAGAAAAATAAAGTTAAATTTCCCGCGGACAAGTACAGCTAGTCATATTTAAAACTAATAAATATATATTTATATCTGCAGATAACAGTAATGGGACATTTATTAAATTAATATATTTCTCAAATATGTATATACATATACTCCACAAGGAATCCCAATTGTATAATTGGATTGCAGTCAATATAATCACTGAACTTGACGTCAATTTAATGATTGTGTTTCGTAATGTTCTCGTACTCGTATTTTCATAATACAAACACTTATTCAACCCACATTGTAAAAGAGTTACATATTTTATAACAACAAAAATACAAACCTAATAAATTCTATGTAGAGACAACATCCAGGCCAATTACAAAGAAATATATACAAAATACAAATACATTGACGCTATACTATACTATGCTATATAGTACATCTAACTACATCTATTTTTACAGATTCTATTATTACAGATATGAAAATGTATACGTTTCTTTTAGTCGGTCAAAAAATTAATAAGTTCACATCATTTGAATAAGCCGAGGAGATTTCTTCAGTTCATAATGACCGTTAGGTACCTCTTTCAGATATTCATATAATAAACAGACGATAACATCTATAAAATGGTAATGCTTTGTGTATGAATAAATATAAAGTTTTTTTTGTAGGTTAATGCATCTCGGATATCCCTACGTCGTTATCTCATCACGATGATTTAGGTAGATTTCTTTGTTTTTTTTAAATGACTAAGGTAATTATAGACATCTGTATGAAACGTTTTCTTATCAGCAACAGTACCTTAACATGTTAAATTTAACGGCGTCGGTGGTCTAGCGATTAAGCATACCGCTCTACTTCCGATAGTCGCGGGTTCAATTCCTCGCACGATGCAAATTTTTGTATTTCGTTTTTTTTATTAATAAAAAAAATTAGTTGCTCTAGGTTTTGTCTATATACAGTTTGAATGTATTTCCAAATATTTTAGCTTGAAACTAGATGACGCTGTGTGAATCGTTCAGGGTTATTATTATTAAATATCAGAACCAAATACAAATTATCACACTAAGTTATTCATTTATAGCTCATGCCACTTCCCATGCATCCTCATTAAAAGTTGATTCGACATGACTCTAATTTTGTTTTTAATTTGCTTGATATAACATCTTCGTCTTCCCCTCCCCTCTATCTTTCTATTTTTCCTCAATAATAATTTTCACAATAAAAGTCTCATTATAAAATAGTAAAATACCTATTACACATTTAGTTTGTTTAGTTTAAGTTTGGGTTCCAAATCCAAACTTCAGTCTATGTTCCTAGGCAGATAAATATATATCTTTATTGAATAATTGAATATTATCTTTATTAAAAGTCATTAATTATATTATATAATTAAAGTCATTAATCAAAATAAAAAAGGCGCAAAAACCATCAACACTAACACACCTTATTTTATGTGCACAATTTAAATACCTAAATAATTAATGGGATTCAAGCCATTCTCGAGCCCTGTAATCACTGTTCCATCACGAATTTAATATTAGAATATTAAACATCAAATTATTTTCATAGGTACTTCATATAATTGTTTAGCATCCAAGGCTGAAGGGCGAAGGGCCAGACAATTACAACTGTAACGAATTTATCAATATATGTTTTGATAAATTATTATAACGCCTTTAGGGCCAAAATATTAAGAGGTAGTTATTAAAGGTAGTAGCTATGCAACTCGCCCGCCCATAGAAGGGCTTAGAACGTAATATATACCACACTTAATTTCACAGTCTATTATTATAAAATAATATTGTGGCAATACTATGAGTATTATCTAATAAATTTATGTATTTCATTACAAGTACGTTTTATACATTTAAACTGTTATACGGACCATGAGAAGTTTACTGTATTACGAAACTTCACTGTCAATATTGACTTACTGATTTACAGTCACAGTGAACAACATTTATTTATATATATAAGATATTCTTACCGTCTAAAAGTGTATATTTTTGTACCTTTTCGTATCTGAGTACAAGATTAAACAACAAAATAACTTTACTGTACATAATATTTAAGTAATACATAATAGTTTATATAGTTACACCTCTATCATATCACAATAATATCTCAAAAAAAAGAAGTAAAGGTTATGATCAGAAATATCGTATTAATTCTTGTAACCAAAATAAGTTCAAGATGATAGATTGACTTACCAATAAAGACATCTCAGTGTTCTTCGGCATCATGGTGACGTCACCGGGCCGGACCCCAGGGCCGCAGTACGGGAGCGACGGACCCCGGTTGGGGACCCTAGGCGGCGGCTCGTGTAGAGCCAGCAATGCGGCGTGGAGACGCGCACGGGCCGCGCTGATACCACCAGCTCCTCGAACTGCTGCCTCCACGACATCTCCAACATCTTTCTCCCATCTGAAGACGATTTTTAACAGACTTCATAAAAGAAGAAGTTAATTCTATGTATTTTTGTAACTAGGTTAAGGTAAAAACCTCTTACATCTCGGTTTAACTATATTATTATTATTTTAAACCTTTTTACTAATGTACAAATTATATAAATAAGGTTTAAGTATACTAAATAATCTCTAAACATATACACCGATAACCACCTAACCTAATATCTTCCTTAAGACTTCGGAGTAGCGTGCAAATTAGACTACCATCCGAGTCTGATACGGTGTGATATCCATCGTTTATGTCCGAAACAGATAATAATCGAGTGGTCTCGGCAAACTGTTCGGTCTTTGGTAAAGTTGGCAAGACATGACCACGATTAAAATAGCCTCTATACACACAAGTAGCTTTACCCACCGATAGCCTCCTAAACATGACCTAATATCTTCCTTAAGACTTCGGGACAGCGTGCAAATTGGACTGCCATCCGAGTCTGATGCGGTGTGAGATCCATCGTTCTTGTCCGAGACAGATAATCGCCGAGTGGGCTCGGCAAAGTGCTCGGTCTTTGGTAAACTTGGCGAGACACGACCATGGCTGCCGCCTCCGCTCCCATAACCTGGTAGTAACACACAAATACAATACAGAACATTAAAAAAAGATAAAAGAAAATCTTACTGCGTTTAAGACTTACAGTCGGTCAGTGTCACATGACTAAAATTCAACGAATGCATGTTCTGTTAGGGTAGAGCGTAGAGAGAGCAATCAGTCCATTCTATCCCCCATCCAGCACTAAAAGATATCGAAATTACGACGGCCTGAGCCAAAGTCCGAACTCCTAGCGGTGCCCTCAAGCTAATGTCGTATCCATCAGGAAAAAGTTTGCCTTCAGCCAGTCCAAAAGTTCTTCTGCAAGTTTGGAGTGCCACCTGCACTCGCCCCGTATCGTTAGGTGAAGGTGTTAACACCAATTGCACTCAACAGCATTGGAATAATTTCAAAGAAAAGAGAAGACATGTATATAAACGACTTTATTTATATTACTAACTTCTTGATATTTGAGTAGCACCGCCTCATCCAGAGACTCATCCAACTATTCAATTACTAATAAAAATATACACACAAAATTTCATCCAAAAGAGGACTTAATAACAAACATATGTCCAGGAAAATTACATTATTAAAATATAGCCTCTATATTATATTTAATGTTTTTACTTTTGTAGGTATCAAACCACATGATACACATACGTTACTTTATTATATCTCTCACCTGACGAGGTGGAAGGCGCTCGGCGGGGGGTGCGGGGTGTGCAGGGCACCTCCCCCTGTTCACCCTCCACGCTCTCTAACGAATCCACGATTATGACTACCTCTTGCTCCTCTTCCTCGGTGTATATTGGGTTGGACCTGCAACAAAATAAATTGGTCCGGCGACCGTCAAGGAGTTTGAATCAAGCGTATATATTTGAACGCTTTAAGACAGTGATACATACTTTTAAGGAGGAAGAACTTTATAGAAAATCATATACATTTGTGTCACTTGTTTCAGCCGTCAAGCAACTTACTTAATAAGATGTATTTTGTTAAAGGGTTAGATATTAAAATTTTAAGAGCATAATTTCTTCAACCCATCTCATCCCAGGTAAAATTTTATATCGTATGTAAATACTGTAGGCACTTTTATATTTATATAACAAGAGAATAATAAAAACGTGATTAAAAATAGCGAGGAAGTCACCACTGATTCACAAGATTCTTGCAAACCGCAGAAAATTTTTATAAACATTCACAAACATATAATATAAAAGCTTTTTCCAAAGGAAATAAGAATCGGAATGCATTGCATTTGTTCCATAATCAAGTTCAATGACATTGAATGACTACAAAACATTATTTAGTATGCGTACTGCGTATCTAGATTTTACGTGACATTAATAACTTTAAAGTTGATGATAAGGTGTAAAAACGAACAAGTGCATGTGTTACGCACTATGAATAAGAGTATACCCTTACCATTCGATATTTATGTAAATTATGATAAAGAGGATATATCCAGATCAAAACAAACAGTCATAAACATGAATGTTATTGACGTGCAAAAACAAACCACGGTTATTAGAAGTAAGCTCAGTTTTCAGCTGTGTTCAGGTGCACAGAGTAAGTCATTACAGAAGACTGCGGAATGACACCTTAGGACTAACCTATGTATGGTATGACGCGATAACGTCATATAAAAAAAATAACCCTAGACAATTAACACAGCGCCATCTACTTCCACGATAAGCGGAGCTTGTGTTACTAGTCAACTGATATATATATAATATTTAATATGTTTGCACCGTGCAAGGAATCGAACCGACGACGAACGAAAACTACCGTCGGAAGTAAAGCGGTATGCTAAACCGCTAGACCATCGAAGCTGGCTGAAATCCCTATAACTGGTGATTATCCATGATACCTGAGTAACGGTGGCGACATGTCATCCAGGGCACGGAGGGGGTGGAGCAAGGGCGCGGGCGGCGCGGGCGGGACGGGTCGGCCGCACGCGCACCGTCCCGCGTCGTCGCACTCGCGTCGCCCTCCACCCTGATAAAAAAGGAAACTTATAATATACTAGGGTAAACTACAATATGCCAGAAAAATCTAGATGAACTATAAGTGTGTGAAATTTTATACTACTCCGATGGTTCAATTTTGGTAAAAAATGGTACAAAGTTTTTGCTTCAGGTATTAATATAATGATAATGCAAAAATATATCAGCTAACCAAACTGGGCGGTAGGGATAGTTAAGAACAGAATAGAATAGAAAATCACTTGTTCGAATAAACTTACGTTGAAGCACTTTTGAATAGTCAGTCATCACATTTATTTCAATCTACCGCTTATTCAAACGTCATCGAACAGAGACCAAAAGGTCCTATGTGAATAAATATTTGTTGTGACTTTTTTCATTCACCACGAAATATGGAAGTAGTAAGTTCAAGGCTCAATCTAGTAGCATCGTTAAACCCGAGAGTTAAGCAGTAAAATCGAGAAGTAAACTTTATGAACAATCTAAGCAGCTACATACCTACTGCAATACAACATTGATTCTGCTAAAATACAACCAGGCCGTAAATACTTGCACATCTTAAACTATGTTTGTATTTGAATAATACGGCGGAATGATGTTTAATGATTTTAATTTTTATTATATAGAATTATAGTATAATTATTTATTTATTTATAACTAGCTGTACTCGCGGCTTCGCGTGGAATTTAACTTTACTTTTCTAAAATAAAAGTAGCCTAAGTTACTCCTTATTACATCAGCTACCTTCCAATAAAAGTCCGGTCCAGCCATTTCGGAGATTAGCCGGAACAAACAGACCGACACAGACATACAAAAATTGTAAAAAATTATATTTTGGTGTATGTACCGTATTTACGAGTATATTCATATGCATGTAGTAACAAACGGTTATTACAATATCACAAACAGACACTCCAATTTTATTTATAAGTATAGATAGATATATGTACTTTCATTGGTCAATCAACAAAACCTTACACATATCATCCAATTACAAATCCAAGGCAACATGCAAAACGATAATCGTACAAATTAACCTAACTTACATAATGCAGATGGAAGCATAATAATGCTAAGTCTTTGTCTTCAGACACTGATGTTATCGTGTTATATGTACGTACAGCACCGCGGAATTCACATTAATCAATTCAAAACAGCTGCTTTATATTTGTAAATAAATATAGAATAGATTAATAATAGGGGTCAGGTGTACCTCAATAGAATTAGAAAAAATCTTTATTCAAATAAACTTAATATAAGCTCTTTTGAATAGTCATATTTTATTTTACCACTCCTTCGGAACGCATACTCATCACACGAAGAATGAGCAAGTAACTTACGTGTTGCTCTTTTAAATAAATGTTGTTCACAATTACATGTGAATTTAAACTGCCAAATAGCAAAGTTGACTTAGATAAATTAATAGTTAGTCAAGTATCAAAATAAATCAGTCAGTCAATGAGTTATCAGAGCAGACCAGTCCCTACAAGCAACAATCGTTAGGCTATAAATGTCATGCGGATGAAACCACGGACACCCCCTCCGATCGATCCCCCGTCCAATTCGAACGGGGATCGATATTATGACGGCCTGAGCTAAGGTTCGAACTCCTAGCGGTGCCCTCAGACTAAAATCGTATTCGTCAGGCGGGACTTATATGACCTTCAGCGGCTCCATAAGTCCTCCCGCGGTTTTGGAGTCCACCCCCTATCATCCGGTGAAGCTGTAAAGGCCAGCTGCGACCAACAACATTAGAGTAGTCCGAAAAAAAATCCGCGGACACAATTAGTAACTTTATATGCAGGTAACTATTTTCACTTTCAATATTAATTCACTTGAGCTACCACCACACAAAGATTGTTATCAATATAGAGTAGACATTACAATGAATTAACTGATGATACCATTATGTTAACTTACTTAACAATTGTCACCTCTTGTAACGGAATGTAACTAGGCGCATCGCCCTCGGCCCACTTGTCCTATGCGTAGAATTACTGTATTAAGTAACAAAAATGGTTTACTGTTGCTTTGTAAGTGGCGTTACGTTATAATGAAAGCGGGTTAAGCGAGATGTAAGTTAAGATTAGAACTCGATAGTAAACTGTTCTATGTTTATAGTTTTGTACATATTAAACCTGGCACCGCGATAGTGTATTCAAACCCATAGATTTATATGCAGCTGGATGATGTGTGACTTTTATTTATTTTTTATTAGTGTAATTTTTAACTCCACTTTAATCTCTATTGGTTAGCTAAAATGGAAAACTGCTTATTTTCGTCCAGCAGAAAACTTTACATGGTTCAGTTAAAATTACCTGTATTTTCCATATTTACATTGCAAACAAACAAACAATCAAATCATTTTTTTATAATTCCTAATTCTTACTAATATATAAACACAAAAGTAACTCCATCTGTATGTCTGCCGCTAACAGCTTTGTTAACAGCCAAAACTACTAATCCGACTTAAATGAAATTTGATATAGGAGTGAGATTTTTTTTATAATATCATAACGGCGGATATGTATCTGTGTATACTAAAAGAACACATAAATAATTATTCTCTACAACACACATGATGGGCTTGTACATAATCCCGCAAGGTCTTAAGTCCGTCACATGTACTTTAAAATTATATAAAAAAATACAAAAGTAAAATTTTTAAAAACAGTAACGTATTATTAATTCTTAGACCTACACGGGGTACTAAAATTAATCAAATAATTACGGTAATGCAATGCTAAGTACTGACTATATTTATCTTACGTAGGTGGACATCTACCCACATGTCGCCGTAATATGACATTAGTAGATCGTAATAAAAATAAATATCTTACTTATATTATAAACGCGAAAGTTTGCAAGTAGGTACGGATGAATAGATGGATGGATGGATGGATGTTTGTTACTCTTTGACGAAAAAACTATTCAACGGAAATTGATGAAACTTTACAGTAATAAAGCTTATACATCAAACTAACACGTCAACTATAAGTTGTATGCGGATGAAACTGTTGTATAGTATAACATAATATATTATTATTATAGCTAATATTTTGCCAATTGTTGCCGATAAAAGTATTCTATTTTTATAGATATTTTATTACTTTTTATAATTTAACATTTTAACAAAGAAATAAATGCTATTAAACAAACAACACAAGTTTCATTCCTAACAAACAATTTTATTTTTAACTAACGACCCGTCCCGGCTTCGCATGCAATACGATGCAATACAAGTCTTTGATTTTCTCAGCTTGTTCTATACTATAACACGCATGTATTATACAAACTTTCCTCTTAAATCACTCTATCTACTGCTATAAACTGCATTAAAATCCGTTGCGCAGTTTAAAAGATCTAAGCGAATAGACAACGGCGGCCAGTAGGTTCTATAAACTACAGTATGTAATGTGGAATTACTTGTTTACAACGAGCCGCTGCGGACCTAAAATAAACAAATGTGGCATTATGTTAATGCAAATTTATATTTTAATATATTTTACTATAACATCATCTATTTTTAAACAAAGATTACAATGCTGTAGAATATATATTGTAAGAGCCTATTTACAGTTATTTAAATACTGTCTGTTTCTGTGTAATTGTTATTAAAAGAACCTGTAATTTCTGAACGTAATATAATTACATACTTTTATTTATTTATATGAATTTGAATGTTTAAGTTAGGTAACTTGAGCTTTAAATAAATATAAAAAAAATCTAACATTTAATACTTGTAGTAAAGTTTATATATAGCCCGGCATGTGTATTAACTATATTATCTTTCATAAAAACATTAAATCCACGCAAACATCATCATCATTAGCCCACTACAGTCCACTACTGGACATAAGCTAATATGCAATAAACGCAAAAATGTATATAGTATTATTACTTACACCAATCTTTTCTCGATTTCCTTTGTCAAATAAAAAGTGAAATTTATAACAGATTATAAATATATATAAGATAGAGATAATAATAGATTATAAAAAAAGTGAATGGTGTGAAATTCTGCATCTCTGATTCATAAATAATTAGCGTCAAAAATACTATGGAACAGATCAAGAGATCAGCACGAAGGTCATTGTCTTTACGCTGACATAAAAATTTGTGAATCTCACGCTTGAATTGCAGTCAAATATTTGTGTATATTTAATTTACTTATTAGCCGATGTAAGATATACATAACGTGACCAGGCGTCTCGTTTTGAACGGGACTGTCCCTTTTTATAATTGCAAGTCCCCGTGTCCGCAATAAACTTTGGGACGCAAAATTGACCCATTTTCGAAAATCGCGCGAAAATTTAAGTAGTTAAGCCAGACCGCTTTGAAAATGATAATTAAGGTAATATAAAAAAAAACGTGTAAAGAGTTTCATTTTTATTTAAAATCTCCACCAGCTGTAAAAAGCAATTGTTTCTCCGAAAACTATAAACATAACTAAACAAAATATTTAGTTATATTTATACATATCTGCTATACTTTTAAATTCGTAACTTTTAAGCTAACTTAATCTAAATAACTTTTAAAAAAGTGTTTTTTTATTGACTATCTATTAATTGACCTAAATAAACCAAAGTCCCGTTTTGCGTCAAAGAATAAATGGTCACGTTAGATATAAATCAAGTAATAAGTAAATTAAATAAATAGTCGTTTATTCAGTTAATTGAGCAGAACTAAACATATCATACATAAATCATACTAAGATCTAAATATATCGTACATATATACATAACTTTTATAGACATTTATGATCTAATCATCGACAAACGAGTCAAAATGAAGTATATATAGACGGTCTCGGTGGTCTAGCGGTCTAGTACACTGCTGTACTTCCGATGGTCGCGGGTTAGATTCCTCGCACGATGCAAATATTTGTATTCATAAATACATAAATATGATTGCTTGTAATTATCTGGGTATTTTCTATGTACATAATTACAAAGAAAACTAAGTATTTATATCAGTTGTCTATAAACAAGCTCTGCTTATCGTGGGGACTAG